TCAGAGTAAAGAACAAAACAGGTCATTGTTATATGAAGTTTAAAATAAGTAATGATATCACATTGTGAGCTATAGTCAAATTTACATAAAATGTGTGCAATTGTCTTTGATGCATTATTTATAATCTTGCTTATGATTTCTGCTTGCTTATGATTTTTATTAATACACTAATTAGAAAGAGATATGTTTGTATTACAGTAGAATAATTTGAGCGAAAACCTGTTTTTAATAATAATAATAAAACAAACACAATGCAAAATATAATAATAGTAAAATAGGCATTGTTTTTTTTTTTGTTTTTTTTTTCATGGCATTACAGGTTTATGCTGATGTGAAAAATCGACCATTTAGATTTGAGTGAATCTAAGTTTACATCCATTTTCACTTGGCATTACAGACATCTGAGAGCATTACACGTCCATCATATTACAGGATTGAGTTTCCCCTGAAGCAGCGTTTGCGTTTTCACCTCATTCAACATGGCAGCTAAATGGTGTCTCTCCAGCGAGTCACTGACGTTGGACTGACCTACATTATAGCACAGTATGCCAATAAAACCCTCCAAGTTTTAATTGCTTTTGCTATTACTGTGCCATTGCTTTGGGTTTCCATGCCCCCATAGTCACTCGTTCGCCACGAGCCACCCCACAATGCACCTCTAATTGACAATCAAGTTTTAAATCAGCCTTTTGTGAACTATTCTCGCCCTCTTTTGTTCGTAAGTGAAACACGGTATCCATCACACCCTGCTTCCAGGGGCATTTATGAGTTCAGCCGAAGGGTAAGTCCTAATGAAAAGATCAAATACTTTTTCTCTCGCCGCTTTTATTGAAAGCTCGTGCCGATCAATGCCATCATCCAGTTTGCTGTAATAGGTTCCATGTGAGCACAAATTAATAACACAGAGGTTTAATGACACGAATGTGAGATTGGTGAATCACCTGTCTTCACCATCGATTTGTGCCCTGGTCCGCTCAAGAGTAATTTGGCTGATGAGAGGAAGGATAGTTCCCATGAACCTTCATATCTTTGTCCTCCTAATATCACCTGAAAAAAAAAAACATCTGTCCCTTCGTTGACGTCAGAAATAGAGCACGATAATGAAAACTAGAGCCCTTTTTATGAAGCAAAGAGGAAGTGGAGGCTGATAATGAATAATGTAGGCAAGTAAATTTTGGTCACGACTTTTTCCAAGTGCATAAAATGAACTTTGCAATGTGATACCGTTCTCACTCAACTGCCTCCATAATTAACAATTCAGCATGAGCTTCTATATATGGCATTCATTAATAAATTATCATACAATGTGAAAAGGAATACTTCAGCCTAGGTTTGATTTTATTTCTTCACTGCTCCCCGGTATATGTAATATTATCATATTGATATGAAGGAGAGCCATTATGATGGTATGGCAGGGATCAGTAGCATCTGGTCTCCTGAAATGAGGAGCCATTGTCACATCTCTAGGTTTGACATTTTTAGTCCAGTATAAATTCATTTTGCATTTCTATTTGATGTTTACACAGCTTCTGGTTAAATTAAACATGCAGCCAATACTATAATATTTCCTATGTTTCAATGAACATTAATGGTATGTTTTAATCAGATTTTTTTACTACAATACATATTATAGGAATAAGCATCATCATTAGTATTATTATTATTATTATTATTATTAATTAATATGTTTATCAGTTTAATTAATTTTAAATAATATTAAATAAAAACCTCACTCACAGATTTCAAGTCATTTTAAGTACTTTTTATTTATTTGAAAGTGGTGATTTCTGAGTTGATTTGATTTATTTTGTAATCAGTCTGTCAGTCTCCACCAGTTTCGGGGCCATGCAGAGACCTTTTGAGGGGCAGGTGCTCAAAATATAAAAGGGGCACATGGAACAAGGCTTTAAATAGGGTTGTGCTCAAAATATCAATACAGCAATATACTGTGACACATTCCTTGCTGATACACGTATCAATACAGATGCTTCTGTACTGATACAGCAGCAAATGCCGTAACACAGTTTTGAAAAAGAAACACAGAACAGAAAAGACCATTTTAAATTAAACGTTACATTTTTTTTTATTTCACCTCTTAACTCTGGAATTAGAAACTGAATTGTAATATTGGTATTATTATTATTATTATTATTATTTTTGAGTTTACAGGGTATGGTGGTTTTGCTGTTGTAAACACTAATGTTGCTGTTCTGAATTTATTCATTTTTTGAATGGTAATGATAATAAAAACATGATTGATAAGTATAATTCAGAGGATGAGAAAATCAGTATAAGCCTGGTTTACCAGTTTTGTGATAATTATTTTAAGGCGCTCTGTTTTTTTTTTTTTTGTTATAAATACTGTAATAATAATAGTTCAAAATATGAATAGTTTTTAGTCAGATAACATAAAAAAGACAAGACCCCCTGACACCCGTTAAACATATCTCAATAAAACAGCAAGAAAGGAAGATTTGATTTTTGTTAGCCAATTAAAAATAAGAAATAAAAAAACGAATAAAACCTGTCAGTAAAACCTGTCAGTTAGACAATAAATAAATAATAAAAAATAATCTGAAATGATGGCTAGCCCCTTTCTGCAGCTAACGTTACTTCCACAGGCTACACACAGCAATATAAAACAGCAGCTGTGCATGCTCTCTTCACGTCATTCTTGTAAAATAATAATAATTTAATAATAAAAGTATACAAGCACTCCACTTACCAGCAGCCTCGGACGTTATTGAAGGTATCCTGGTAGTGCGCTAAATTACTAACTAGGTGTCTGTACATGAGGGATTGTCCCGATGAGATTGTCAGGTGAAAGGTCATCATGTGGATCATTTTATTTATATTAATTAATTATAATTCATTAATTTTACTAATAGTTAGATTGGACAGGCCTTCACAAAAAGCGTTTAATAAAAAAAACTTTGGCCATCAAGTGGAAAAGGGGCAGGTGCTCAAGAAGCCCCCCCCCTTTAATAACACACCTTCACGTGAACTTTTTTCAGGGTGGATTTAATAAGACAATATTGGACTTGACCATTACAAATAAGTATCGTGATGATAATGGTAATAAAGTGTGCCAAAGTGCTTCAAATAATACCATTGTGTTATCAAGTGCCATGTCACTTACGTTTTTACCATGGTATTTTGGATACTGCAGTACCAGTACAGTATTTTGGATACAACAGAATTTGGGTATTGTAGTGCTACGGTGGTATTTTGGACATGTACCTCAGTAAGTAAATTCATGGTATTAAAGTGCCATGGAGCGTCATGAATATATTATGGTACATGAGTTTCAGTATTGTGTTATATTACAAAGTACCACACACACACACACACACACACACACATTCAGTTATAATTATAGTGAATATTGAGTCCAAGTGAATATTGTATGTTTATTTTGTTAGCATTAATGCACGAAGCTTTCAGCATGCGGCTATGAGGAAAAACACTCACTTCACCTGACAGAAAAGACACACATAAGGCAAAATGTCAACCAATCTTCAGCAGCTCAGACAAATCAAGTGTTTAATTACAGCACACGAGCAGCTTCCTTGGCATCTTCCCATTTTCCAGAGTGATTTTGAGGGAAATGTACACATTACTGCCCTGCCAGTGTTACTTATTCTAACAAACTGTCTTTCGCAGCCAGAAACACATAATGACTCTCCATTTGTTTAGCTGCGAGGGACATTATAGAGAAAAGATATGTCTCGAGATTTCAAAATATGAGCATGAGGGAAAAACCTCAAGGGTAAAATCAATTCGCTGACACTAATTGAATCAATACATTACATGTTTTTATGCCCATGTGACAGTCATATATACAACTCAGAGGGGTTGATAAGGAAAACAGGAAGTTTAATGTGTATTGAGCCATGGCACTTTTGTATTTGTCTTGTATTTGAGTCTTGTATTTATTGTGAGTCCATCTGTTGGACACTTCATCCAGTTTACTAGTATGCTTGTGCATTATTACATTAGTTTTGGATAATAAATGTTAATTGTCATCTGTTGAGCTCAGATATTGAAAATAAAGCTTTATTTTAATTCACAAAATTTTATTGATTGCATAGAAAACAAAAACAAAAAAACATTGTTTTAAAGTCAGCATGCAATCAGAATTGACTTTCTTAGATCAATTGCTGTGGACAATCAGTGCATGTTGTTGGGGGAAAAATATATATTTTAATTGCATATAAATGATAACACTCATTTTCCAAATGTAATATTTAATTTGCTTTATTGCATAACAGACATTGTTACTTAAAGTCAATGTGAAATTAAAATGGACTTCATTTGCTGTCTTAGATGGTGGACAATCAGTGTATGTTATTCCAAAGAAAAAAAAAAGTTGCATATTGTGTTAGACTCAGAATTGCTTTGATAAAATTGCTTGTCTTTTTTCATGTTGTTTTTCATGTTGTTTCAGGTATTTTTTTTCCCAAGTAAATGATGACACTAATTCAAAGTCAACATTACATTAAAATTGATTTAATTTACTTTCTTAGATTGATTATTGTGGATAATCAGTGCATGTTATTCCAAAGAAAGGTAAATTTTTATATATATTTTATGCATATTGTGTTAGTCTCAGAATTGCTTTCATAAAATTGCTTTCAAGTTGATTTTAAATATACTACAAAATCATCAGTAAGATTCCACATATACAATTTTTGACTGCAAAAACATGACATTACACTTTTCTGTGGATGTAGATGGGCGAGAGGGTCATGCATCAACGTGTGTGTGCGTGCTATGTGCGTGTGTGTGTGTGTGTGTGTGTGTGTGTGTGTGTGTGTGTGGCGCTGGTTGATGCAGATGTGTGTGTCTATGTGTAGGAGCTCCTCCATCTGAGTGAAGGTGTGTGTGTGTGTTTTGTGTGTGTGTGTGTGTGTGTGTGTGTGTGTGTGTGTGTGTGTGTGTGTATGTCGTGGGTCTCAGATCTTGTATGTGAATGTGTTTCTGGTCTCATATTGTGACAGATGCCATGTTGCTGGTGGCTGACAGACTGGAAGGGCCCTTCAACATTGAGACCATCATGGAGCCGATAGATGTAAAGATCTCAGAGGCCATCATGACCATGCAGGACAACAGCATGCAAGTTTCATCCAAGGTGCATCTGCTCACACACACACACACACACACACACACACACACATTGATGCAGAAACATGTTCACATACACACTAATATCAAGGATTGAAGCTTCTCAAGCTGGTGCAATTCCATGTGTTTTTCCATACCAGAAGGAAATCGAAATCCTTTATTATTTTTAGTCCTTTAAATCAAATTAGTGAGTATAATGAACATGACTTTGGCATTATTATCTGCAGTCTCTTCTTAGAAATTGACATTTTTAATGGATTTTAGAAATGTGATCTGTATATTCTTTCACACACACACACACACACACATACACATATAACATATAGTTTTACAGTTTGCAGGAGTATAATTTTTTTTTACAGACATTTGGTCCTAATGTTGATGAAATATGCATGTTGCTCATAAAATGTTGTAAAGCCATACCGCAGGTATCAAAGCTTTCAGGACGAGCTTTCATATTCAGGAAAATTAGCTGTGTCTCCCTGATGGACTTCCACACAGAGGCCAAGACACAAAATAAAACGTGGCCACAGATTCCAGTGTGAAAGAATGAAAGAAATAAAAGCATGAAAGAATACAGCCTGTGTGGTGCCGTTTGAATGCTGCGCTCCGCTTTTACATTAAAAGCTTCTGGAAAGCAGGACCTGATTGAAAATGCACAGAGAGCATGGAAATCAGTGTGTACATGTCAGCCTTAGACTTTGAATGGTAATCATAGTGACAGATCGTCCGACATCAGAGCGCAGAAAACATCCTGCCATAAGAGCCAGCTGTGGCATTAAAATGTTCCATCACTGTCAACTACACCCAGAATTCACTGCAGCTGAGATGTCAGCATGTCAGTGCAAAGCATGCATTATTTCTCTCGTGACACAATTTTTTTTTTAACATATTTGCCTTAGATTTGACCTGTTGCAAAGCTTAATTGTCAGTATCACTGAAATTACAATATGTCTTAAAGCATTGTTGTTGTTCAAGTGTTAACATGAATTTAGGCACTTAAATAACTCAAAATGGTATTTTGCCTAAATGTAGATGTATTATCAATTTGACTGCACCCGACACCATTGGATGAGAAGAAAACTTAAAATAAAATAAAATTAAATTAGAAAAAAAAAAAAAATAAAACAAAATGAGTTTAAGCTGAATAATGAAACCACTGTCTTCTGTAGAGCATTTCATATCGAAATCCAGTTAATTTCATAACTGTTCGTAACTTTATTGTCAATATTGACACTGTTATTGAACTGAATTGAATCAGCACTGAACTAAATGTAGCTGAATAATGACACTAGTGCCTCCTGTAGAGCTGCTTTAGCTGAAATTGAATGTTTTGTAATATTATAATTAATGTGTTTGCATAAATGGATTTTATTTTCTTGTTTTTTTTTATTTTTTTAAACATTACTACACATGTATTGATCATATTTCTTTTTTTATTTATTTACTGTTTCTTGAGTTTCTTTTCCTGTATAATTTCTGCATAGAAAAAAAAAACTAAACAAAAAAAGTAATATTCATGAAATGAAATAAATGTTAACTGAAATAAAATAAAACAAAGTTTAAACAAAGTTTAAAGTCATTGTATTTCAGCTGGTTATAAATAAATAAATACAACATGACAAAAACACAACAAAATTGCTAAAATGTTATCTAACATTAAAATGAAAACAGAAAATATAAAAAAAATAAAATATAATTCAAATATAAAAATATGATAGTTTGCCAACACATTTTACACACAATCTGTGCTTTTTATTTTATTTTATTTATTTTATTTTTAATTTTAACCTCAGCCACTGGTTGTGACATCTTTTAAAATTCAACTATGAACAAAGCTAGTTAAAATTGTAAGTATTCACATACTTGGATAGAGCAAGTTTGATGCTTTAGGGATCCTGTAAAATTTGGATATAGTGTTTAAAATGTTGCTCAAACTGTGAACACTGAACAAATGAACGTAAGCATTTAAGCATTCGGTAAATCCAAGTGACTTGCATTGCATTCAACATTTACACAACGCTTAAACTGCCTGTTGCATTAAACAATTCAATGTAAAATATATCCTTGTCATCACACTTCATTCTTCATTTTCTTATTTCTTCTTATTTATTTATTATTTTAAATTTTTATTTATTTATATATTTATTTTTTATTATTATTATTTTTTATATATATATATATATATATAGCCTAACTTCACTGACTGATGCATTCCCACTTTGGTAATTATAGGTATTTCAGGGATGTGGTCATCCCAAACCAGCTGGAGTTGGCCGATCTGCCCGCGGGATCTCTGATGTGTTCAACAGTCGCTTCAGACCCTACAGCCCAGAAGAGAGGCCCACCACGGCAGCTGGCACCAGCCTGGACAGACTGGTGAGTGGGCGGCAGGGAGGGCAGTGCAGGGCAGTGGGAAGGAGCGAGTGGGCGATGATGACCTTTAGAGGTCAGACCCGGGAGAATGCAGCGGCCACTGAGAAAAAGCTTTAGTAGTGGCACTGGATGTAAATTGAGAAAAATGTCATTTTTAAGGGTTAAATTAAGTAGAAATAGCTCTAAATTTAGGCTTAATAAGGTTGGGTAAAGATTTTCTTTGTTATTATTATTATTATTATTATTATTATTGTTGTTGTTGTTTATTTTTGTTTTTTAGGCTTATAATGAGGTAGTGTGGGTGTACTGAGTTACTCTACTGGAATAGAGCGTTCTGACTCATAATACATAACAATAAAACAGGAAAATATTACTTTGACTTAAAATAGAACAATATTGCCTTTTTGTCTTCGTTCTGAAAACTTTTAGGTTTTCATAACATTCCATTTTATCATTTACTCGAGTTACTCAAAATACTTAAAAGGATAGTTCACCCAAAAATGAAAATTACCCCATTATCTATTACCTTCAAGCTATCCTAAGTGTATATGACATTCTTCTTTCAGACGAATACAATCGTAGTTATATTAAAAAAACATCCTGGCTCTTCCGAGCTTTATAATGGGAGTGGATGCTAGCCCAAAATTTGAAGTCCAAAAAATTGAACTAATCCATTATAAAAGAAGTCCACACGGCACCGAGGGGTTAATAAAGGCCGTCTGAAGCGACGCAATGTGTTTGTGTAAGAAAAATATGCATATTTACAGCTTTATAAACCTTAATCTCTAGCTTCCGCTAACTGTCATGCACACATTCATGAGAGAGTGGCATCCAAATGGTTTTATTCATTACACCATAGGCTATAGATCTGATTTTTTTTTCTTCAGGAAACAGCCGGACTAGAATAGCAACACAGTAGCGAACAATAAACGATATGGCAAGACAAAAATTAAATAATTAAACCAAAGTTTGACCAATTAGAGTAACGTTAGGCTAAAACATGTAAATCTGATATCTGGATCACTGTCAGATGAGCCGTCAGATGCTGAGCCGACCCAGGACGCATAACTTACCATCAGACTCTCCATCACTCATGGCATTTAGTGTTTCTAATACCTACCTTCCATAAATCGCCCTTTTTTAGTCATTTTGACTTTATTTATGAAACTGATAACCGCTAAATCAGTGAGTGAAAGGCATTGCCTAGAAATGTACAATGTTAAAACATAAGCGGCAAGAAAATGACAGCGCAAACACACAGGCATTATATAGCGGGTAAATTTGACCCGCTGGTGCTTATAGGTATAAATGCCCCGTTTTTTTATCTGGTTTTTAACAACATTGGATTGTAAATTACATCATTTTAGTAAAAGTCAATGACTGGGAGACTTGAATGTTTTATTTTAAATCTGTTATGTACATTTGAAAAGCAGCCACGGGTAAAATTTACCCCGTGGTGGTTCTAGTGTTAATGGGTTTTAATGTTTTTGTCTCATCGTGCCATGCAATATAACAAAGAGTGAAAAATTTAAGGGGGTCTGAATACTTTCCGTACCCACTGTATATATAAATATTTTTTTATTTTTTTTAATGCAAACAGTAAGGAAACATTCCATTTTATAATTTTGCAAACATTATGGGTAAGTTACTTTTGAATGTCCTCTGAACATTCTGAAACAAGTAGTAAAATCCAACTAAAATGTTCTATGAACGATTTATACTTTTTTTTTGTACGCTAATGATGAAGTAGTGTCTAAGTGTACTTGAGCTACTCAAAATACTTAACAAGAAAATATGAAAATATGAATTTGACTTAAAAGTAGACCAAGATGTAATTTTAAATGTTTTTAAAACTTTTTTCTTAGTTATACGAACATTAAGGGAACTTTTTTCTTGTTTATATGAACATTAAGGGAACCTTCTATTTTATTATTTTGCAAACATTATGGGAATGTTACTTTTCCCTTAATGTTTTCACAAACAAGTAGTAAAAAAAATTAAAAATCCATTAATGATCTATGCCCGTTAATATTTTATTTTCTCTCTTTCTTTTTTAGGCTTATAATTAAGTAGTGTCTATGTGTACTTGAGTTCCTCTACTGGAATAGAGTGTTCTGACTCAAAATACTTAACAAGAATAGATGAAAATATGAATTTGACTTAAAAGTAGAACTAGATTGCATCTGTGCATAATCTTATTTTAGCCTCCGGCTAACTGGGAGAATTCATTTAAAATGACTTTCTATCCATTATGGGCTAGTGCTTTTTTCCACTCAGCTATGAATTGGATGAATTTTAAGTTAACTCTCACATTTTATAATGGAGAGACGTGATGGTTAAATAAATATTAAGTTAGAGAGAAGTGTTTGTGTGTAAAGTGAATGTGCTTGTTTTTTTTTTTTTTCTCCAGAGGGGAATGGGATGGAATATCCCAGCAATACCATTCATCAAATGTAATTGTGCATATTGCTTTTCTGTCTAATGCATATTTAGCATGTGTTTGCCCATGGTATGCGTTCTGTCTTTCTCATCTCGACTTTCAATGAAATCCCTTTTTCCTCTGTTTTTTGCTTCCGCATCCCAGAGGATTGTCTGGAGGACGATGCAACACAGCGTAAGCCGTCCAACCCTCCTCTCACTTTACCTTCGTCATTTGTCTTGTGGCTTCCAGCCTTCTTCCCATCTTCCCTCATCTCCTTCATCCTCTTGTGTACTTCCTCTTGTTTTCTGAGTAGTTTTGTGCTGTATATCTGTGGAATTAAGGAGGCTGTTTGGTCCATCCTCTCCTTAAAGGAATAATTCACTTCAAAATGAAGAGTTTGTCATCATGTTATGTAGTTCCAAACCCATTTGACTTTCTTTAATTTACAAGTCACTCTTTTTCATGCAATTACAATGCATATGGGGACTGAAGTTTTCAAGCTTGAAAAAAAGACACAAGAGCTTCATAAAACTATGAGAGTGAGTAAATGATAACAAAATTTGAATGTTTGGCTAATTGTTGAATTTATGTAGGATGTGTGTTGAGCTAGTTCCATTTCAGTCCAATAAATTATTACTGTTCAAAAGGTTGAGGTCAGTAAGATTTTTTTTTGTTTTGAAAGAAAGTAATACCTATTCAGCGGGAATGCATAAAATTAATCAAAATGACAATAAAGACATTTATAATGTTACAAAATATTTATATTTTAAATAAATGCTATTCTTTTGAACTTTCTATTCAACAAAGAATCCTAAAACAAATAATATATCACGGTTTCCGCAAAAATGTGAATGTGTTTTCATCATTGATAATAATAACAAATGTTTCTTGAGCAGCAAATCAGCATATTAGAATGATTTCTGAAGGATCATCTGACACTGAAGACTGGAGTAATGATGCTGAAAATTCAGCTTTGCTTCACATGAATAAATAACATTTTACAATATACTACAATAGAAAAAAATTAATTGTAATAATATTTCAAGATATTACATTTTATTTTGCTGTATTTTTAATCAAGTAAATGCAGGCTTGTTGAGCAGAAGGGAGGGAAAAAAAAAA